TTTCTTCGTTTATTGGTATAATGCCTGTCTTGTGTGCAGTTTAGTGGAGTGAACAACAGTATCTTCTTGCCTGCATTTGAATTTCAATAAAAATTCCTAGCCAAATCTACTGACGTAGTTGCATACACATTTTCGATTGCCAGACTTATTTAACGTAAAACGGACATATTACTTCTACCATATTCCTACATAGAGTCTGTTTATTGGTCTATCTCTATCGGCGTTTATTATTGTCGACTAATTTTGCGACGAAAGGTACTCTGTCACTTATTCTTTTTATTTGTTCTCAATGTATATTGAGCCTTCATCATAATTTTCTATCACATGATCTCCATTAGTCCTAGGCAATGTCTCTTATCGCTTCTGACTTCTTATACGTGCTTTAAGTCTTCTAATTCTAATCCTTACAATAATTTAATATGTGTTCATTTGTCAAAAACTTAAGTTAGCATCACTATTATACCTCATTATCTATCGCGCTCTTGAGCTTGAAAGTTCATCCTTGAAACAAATAATAATTTTGGATACTTTTAGGATAGGTATGGGGTTTACCCGTCCATTCGCTCTGCAGCTGTCAAGAAACTTGCGGGAATTTTGCCGCCAGAGCCCTTTTCTAGATATAAATAATAGTCTTATGCATAATAGTCTTCTTGGGTATGCTCCTATCAGATGTGCTTCTCAACCCGCTCAAACTACGATAAAACCCAACTACAATGTTGGGACTATAGGACACATTGATCACGGAAAAACAACGCTCACAGCTGCCATTACTCAAGTACTTGCCAAACAAGGTATTTCTAATACGAGTTGTTATCTTTATATAAATTCTACCTTCCTATGCACCTAGGCCTTGCAAAGCCAGTAAAATTTGACGAAATTGATAAAGCCAAAGAGGAAAAGAAGCGTGGAATAACGATAAACATCGCACATATCGGTTACGAAAGCAAGAATAGAAGATATTCTCACACTGACTGTCCTGGACATTCAGATTTTATTAAGGTTAGCCTTTAGTTGCTTTTACTTACTTTATCCGAGTTTCCATAGATAAGCTTTTTTTGCAGAATATGATTTGCGGCACAGCTCAGATGGATGCTGCAGTATTAGTAATTGCAGCAACTGACGGAGTAATGGCTCAGACAAAGGTATGCTTGGGTAAGCCTGACTTTCGCAATTTTCTAAAAATGGTTTCAGAGTAAGCTATCATTTTTTAGGAACATCTAATCTTGGCTCGACAACTTGGCTTGAACCATATCATAATTTTCATAAATAAATCAGATTTGGTGGAAGATGATGTTTTGGATCTTGTCGAAATTGAAGCTAGGGAATTACTATCTGCTCATGGTTTTGACGGTTTGTTCTCAGCTCAGATACTTTCTTCCCTATATGTTTCTTTACCTTTGCTTAACATTCTTTTGCAGGAGATAATGCACCAGTTATCCGAGGTTCAGCTTTGAATGCCTTAGAAGGGAAAGACGTTTCAAGCATAATCAATCTACTTAAAGCGCTCGATGATCTTCCGGAACCTCAAAGAAACGAGGTATTTTCCTCGTCAAATGTTGCATGTTACAGTTACTTTTTCCTTAAATGTTACAGATA